TTTCTGAACGCACCACAGGTATCGAATTTTTGCGAGCAACTTGAGCAACCAAATCTGAAATTGATCTGCCATAGAATCAGAATATGACATATTGCTAGACTGGTCCAAAATTAAAAAAAAACAGCAATGCGCACCAGACTAGCCGGTGAGATCATGTGTTTTATGCGAGCCTATCGAACGATTGCCTATTAATGATTTTCACCGCTTTGTACTTTAGTCTATGCAAAAATAGTTTAAACATTGGAAAACAGTTAAAAATTTCATGCACGAGCGCGTGAAAGCTGAATTCGAAACCTTGAAAGATGAATATCGTTCCGTGATTCCCGACTTAATAGTTTACCAGCCAAAATTTTCACGAGCCCGTAGGTGATACCCGAGAGCGCGAGAACGCTGAATTTGAATGGGCAAGGTTGAGCGTGGGCAGAGAGTCATTATCCTAAAATTCCAGCCTTTCAGGTTCCGTGGTTCCCGAGATATTAACTTACCCGTAAGAAAATTTCACGGGGCCGTACGTGTTACCCGCGGGTATGGGAAGGCTGAATTTGAATGAGCAAGGTTGAGCGTGGGCAGGGGGTCATTACCTTAAAATTTCAGCCTCCTAAACTCCGTGGTCCCCGAGATATTAACTTACCCGTAAAAAACTTTCACGGGGCCGTACTTGTTACCCGCGGGTACGGGAAAGCTGAATTTAAATTTGCGGGGTCACACGTGGGTGGGGAACGCTCCCTTAAATTTCCAGTTTCCTAGCTTTTGTGGTTCCCGAGTTGAAAGTTGCGGACAAGTTGCTGCGGACACACACACAAACACACACAGAGACAACTCCGTGACAATATGCGTTTTGTACTGCTGTTACACAGCACAAAAACTGTGCGGAAGAAATGAGTATGGTTTGCAACTATGCGAATTTTTCATTCGTTCCAATCTAATTGTTGCCACTCAATCACAAGGTATAGAAGGTAAGCAAAACAGTGGAAAGAAGCCTAGAGAGAGTAAAATTTATAAATAAAGTGCTGATGAGTGCCATATGGTATGATTGTGTAGTGGAAGCGTGCTGCGAACGTGAGACGTGATTTGTACGGCAAAAACCCAGAGGAGGTATGCTGGACCGTAGTTGAGCTGGCAGCGTATAACTGCGCTGACTGTTTGGTGATGAATTCGTTACTAGTACAGCCAAGTCTGATATGCATGTGTGACCAAGTCTGGCCAGACACCAGGGCCAAGTGTAACGGATTGCTATTAACAGCTCGTCTAGCGACCACTCTTCAGCGGCTACGTAATGTCTGAGCGTGCCACCCGTTCAGTGGAACCGTTATGAAGGAGG